ATATATATATATATATATATGAAGTATGAAATATTCTTTAAGATACGAAATCCAATTATAAGGTTCTCTCGAATGCTTTGCATATAAGTATTAGTAATTTTATTCATGTATGTGTATATGCATGCATATCAACTGTATTTTAGTTCCACATTAGTTTGAAATGTTCAGAAGTTAAGGACCAAATTCCAATATGCACAAACCCTTTGTGCTTTTGCTTTCTATTTCTTCCTTGATAATTACAATTTCTACTTGACATGAGCGCATATCAAATCTTGTTTAAAACCTTAGACATTTAAAATGATAATGTCAAATTATTATAATCCATTGTTTCTTGATAAGAGACATCAATAACTATACTAAACATATTTTAATGTTCTATTATTTTAATAGTGACTAGGAAGAATCATTGTATAGTTCTTCATTTGACTACATGTATAATGCTTTCTCTTGAGATTTTAGGAAATAATTAGAGTTGATATAAATATGCTTTGTCAACTAATATGCCTCGTTACAGGAGATGTGATGAATCAATGTCTTGAAAAATCATATCAAGAGGTATATCTTATAACTTCTATCTATATGATGAATAAAAGTTATATTAAAATTAGTCCATCAAATAATTAAAAATTGTTGTTAGGTTCCCTTATCCTTATAAGTTGTTTCAAATTAATCCCTCCTCTTGCTACTTGTACTCTTACCTAGAGATGCTAATTTTTAAAATAACTTAACAAGAAGGGGACCTAATGTCAATTTCAAACAATATGAAGGACTAATTATAAAATAACATAAGGACTTGAAAAATATATATCATCGCATGCTAGGCAAAATTGTGATTCTAGACTTTATAAAGCCTGAGAAGAATTTGATGATCCATTGACTAAAGGTCTATCTAGGAGTGTGGTTCTAGATTCATCGAGGCAGATGGGGTTAAGCCCATAAGTGAGGTCACTGATAGTGGTAACAAAACCTTTATTTGGAGACGCAGTCCCAATATAGGTTCAATATGGTAGTAACAAGCTAGACTAGTGACACTCGTGTGGAGCATCGACTTAGATATATTTATATATCATTATGGTAGCATATGCTACTACCCCTTCTCTATGGTGACGATGCTCTTATGATACAACTGGTTAGGATGAGTTTTACTCTTAATAAGTCCAACGCGTGTATTACGGAGGGTATGATATACGGTTGAAGTATCCTTGGAGGACTTATCTACATGAGAGGAATCGTGATGGCCGTGGTTGGGGGGCTGGGCTAACCCCTAGAAATTCTCATGAGTCGGTTATTATGAGCATGACCTTTAACGCTCAACCCATTTTGCTCAATAGATGAAGACATATTGTGTGTGTTTTCGTCAATACCTGGTACAAGGGGCCTAATTCAAGGCCTAGTCCATTATGTCCCTCAAGTGGCGATGAACTCACTAAGGAAAGGTTCAAAGCTGAAAGTTACCTCTCCCGAATTCACGATACGAAAGGTTGCACAACCTATATTTGTTTTGTGATTTATTGATTTATTTATTGTTTTTTGAGTATTCGATCAATATTACCTTTTGGGGGGACTGTTGGATATTTTGTTGAAAAAAGTCAATATTGCCACCTAACTTCCACCAAAAACTCCACAATTCCCCACTAACCCCACCTTTTCCTCACTCGTGCCTTCAACAACCACACTGTTGTCTTTTGACTCCCTCACTCGTGCCTTCAACAACCACACTGTTGTCTTTTGACTCTTTCTCCTCTCACTAATATAAAAACCCCTCCACAGTCTCCACCTCAATTAAGAGAATTCTCCTCTCACTAATATAAAAACCCCTCCACAGTCTCCACCTCAATTAAGAGAAAAAAACGCTTCCACATTTTTCCTTTTCGTAACCTTCATAATAGAGGAGGAGCCACTGTTGTTAAGTGAGGAGGAAGATGGTGGTTTTGATGATTGTGTGGTTGTCTTTCTTTATGCTTCATATTGTTATTGCTAATAAGGATGATAAGTATTTTGGACAACCGTCTTCGTCTGAGCAGAAGCTCTGCACTCCCACCCGAGTACAGAGGTTAGCTGTTTCTAGGGGCTTTTACCGCTAAGAGGAGGGGACCGACTGCGTCAGGACGAGAGACAGGTCCTCAATCTTCTAGAACAGTGCTTGCACGACTGCATCCCATTAGGCCAGATTTTATTATTTATTTTATTTGGATTTATCTGCATGCTATAACTTTATTTGATATTTTTCCAACAAAGTATATGTTGGCCTTTTTTTTTTGATGATGTTTAACAAACATTACAACTAATGTTGTTTGTCTAGTGTTTGTATTTTCGTATTTATTCTAGGCAAATAATAAGTTGGAGGATGGATGGAATCGAACATTCACGATCAAATCCAATGGAGGTTAGCGGAATAGTAGAGTGAAGTTACGTAATTCAAATGATTCAAGTTCAAGCTTCATCCGCAAGTGTACCAAGTTGAGCTTATTGAAGACCTATAGCTTGGGTAATCTAGTTTAGGAGTTTATATTATGTGTGTTAAGTACTTTAAGCTTAATCATATATACACACATATTTTATTGGTTTCTTTGTATATATATGTAGTTATATATATATACAACACAAGTTTTGGTTTACACACACACACACACACATACACTTTAATTGTGGTTTCTATGTATATATATAGTTATATATATACATATATGTTTTGGTTTGATAGTTTTCAAGTTTTAATATGAAAAAATTGAATACAATTAAAAATATATTTTTTGTTTCATACTTATATGCATATATATGATTTCATCATTATCAATTTTATTTAGTTCAATGAAATCATATTTATTGTTTTTGAAAAGTTTATAAAATATGCAATTTTGTAAAAATATTGTATTCTCAGTTTTTGGACTTAACAATAATCATATACATCTTTTATTAAGTCTACAAAATCTTTTTGTAATGTTTCAAAACATGGTTAAGCTAAAATGTCAAAACTCATGTGTTTACATTTTCATGTTTTGGAAAACATGGTTAAGCTAAAATGTCAAAACTCATGTGTTTACATTTTCATGTTTTGGACTATTTTATAAAATAATGATATTTTTTATTTGGGAGGTCCTTTTTGAAACTAGTTTTTGTAACATGTTTATTATCATGTCTATAATCATTTCCAAAATTTTTATATTTTTTGGAATTTGTTTGATATTTTTAAACATGGTTTCAAAATTAGAAAACTGCTTCAAAACATGTAATGTCATATATCAGTTTGCGGTCGACCGTCTTGAGTCTAGAGACTCAGGATGATTTTTCAGAGGCTCGCGATCGACCGTAACGGTCGACCGGATGCTCTCGCGGTCGACCGTGACGGTCGACCGGCTGATGTCCAGAGTCCAAAATAAGTTTCTGGACCTGCTCGCGGTCGATCGCACGTTTCCCATGGTCGACTACCGAACTGTCCATCAACTTCTAACGGCTAGTTTCCAGTTGTTTCTCTATGGGCATTTTGGACAATTCCTTGGGGCTTTTGGCTGAGGTTTTTGGGTGGCTATATATACCCCCTTGCTCTCATCTCTCATCATCCAACTAAGAAGTTTTTAAACAAGGTTTAACAAGGGTTAAGTTTTGTTTAGTTTTGTTTCAAGTTTGGTTTGTGAAGATACTTTCACAAGAGAAAGTGGAGATCAATTCATTGGTGTTTGAGCTTCAATTTATCTTTCTCTCTTGTCATCTAAAGAAGTTTCTTAAACTCAATTCTAGCTATTTATTGTTCTTTGATCTTAATTTCCATAAACTAGATTTTATATTGAGTTTATATTTGTTTTACTCTTTGTACACACACAACCATTGAGCTTATTGTATTTACATTCATGGTATAATTTGGGTTGTGGGATTGTGACATTGAGTGTGAGCCTACATTGAGTTCTCATCCATTGTAGAGAACAACCATTGTTATATTTGTGCGTAAATTGTGAGGTTCACTTTGTAATACACTTGTACACCGAGAGGAGTGTGTGGTGAGAGACGGGGTCTTCCCAAGAGAAGTGAGATAAGTGGTAATGCCTAGAGGTAGGTTGTAATTCCTAACACTTGAGGGAGACACGGGCTAGAGACCAACACTTGAGAGGGTGTAATGTGTGATTGCAGGAGTGTTGATTGTAATGTTTTCGGTGAACTAGAAAACCGAGTGTGAGGCGTAAACGTTATTCGGGTGAGCGTAGAAAGCCCGGTTGTGATCTCCTCGAGGTGAGGAGCGGAGACGTAGGTCATGGGGACCGAACTCCGTGAACATATTGTTTGTTTGTGATTGCATTGGCGCACTTATCTTGTGTTCATATTTCATATCACCATTGTCTATTGCTCGTTATTTATATCGCCCACTATCTTGTTTATTTTGTTTATTGTATATCACTTATCCTTGCATATATCTTGTTGCATATCATACTTGCTAGGATAGTTTGTTGAATTAGTTTTAATTAGCATAAAATCGGATTAGATTAGCATAAGACCCTAATCATCCCCCCTCTAAGATCTAACAGTATATCCTTCTTCTATTGGTGAATATTTACTTAGTGCATGTCGGTGTCAATCGATAGTCATGAAATTATAAGCGCAAATAATACTCACCTAGAAAATTAGACATTTATATACTTGCCACTATAAATTCTGCCTCTTTTTTTTAAAATTAGAAATACTCACCTTAATTTGAATCGCGTTATAATTGGTACAAAACTTTTCTGATGCACAAACAGGCAAAGAGTTGGATTTGGTTATGCATATTTGGGAGCTTGTTATTTTTCATGGGGGGGTTACTGAACATACTAAAGGTATTCAAGATGCATCAAATGGATGGAATAAGACTAGAAAAGCTCCGAGGTGGTGCACTCGAAAGACTCATTAGAGAAAGAGAAGGAAAAGTTCCTCTGATCCTCAATGATGACAGCAGAAGGAGGCGGCGATTTTTGGCGGAGGATGATCCCCCACTGCCTCAGACTCCGGTTATTGCGAGTACTTCATATAAGGAGGTGGAGGCTCCTCAGCCTCAGCCGCAGCCTTCTGCTCTTGCGACGCCGTATAAGGATGTGCTTATCAGAGGCAGCAGCCAGCAGGCTTGAAGGGATCTTTAAGGAAGTTGCCAGGACCGTGCAATTTCATTTGTTTGTTCTGCTAATGGGATTGCGTTCATGCGTCGAGAAGTCCTAGAGCTTTTGGAAGGATATCGCACAAATTTTTTTCTTCTCATTTTTAAAAGCTTCGTTTCTCTTTCATATTGATTTTCATCTGTGGGAAGCTTCAACATGTTTTTATTATTTTATTTGATAGTAGCTTTTTTCTATTGACTACAGTTAGTGAGATGTAATGAGACTGATATTGGTGGTGGAATATTTAAGCTTAACATCGAAAAACCCTCCTTACCTTTGGACTATTATCAAATAAGCTCGCATAACTTCCAAAATATCAGAAAACCATCTAAAGTTTAGGTCATATCATGAAACCCCCTTTAACCCTTAGATAATTTTCTGATATTTTGCACTATGTCATTTTTAAATATTGTCTAGGTGATTAAGAGTTGATTTTAGCCTGTAGGCAGAGTTTTCAAAAAAAGAGGCATGTTTTCATCGAAAGTAGTCTTCATTATCGAGTTCATTACAACTTTGATCGTTTACAATGAATTCAAATAATAAAAATAAAGATTATAACTTCCTAGAAAATAAACACAAGAACTGTTTATCAACTCTTGCTTGCGTGGGGTCTTCGTCTATGCCGGGGATGTTGATATCCATGGACGACCGCAGATCAGATCTGGTTGCCAGAAAATTGACAGAGCTCCTACTTCACCAAGGAAGTATTCGCTTGAAGCACTAATCGACCAAGAAAAATCAGTAGCTCTTCTCAAGATTAAGATCAAGCCTAATCTCAAGGAACGGACGGGGGGAAATACGGGTTCAGATCCTTCGAAAGCCCTCCTCTTTATGCTGAAGTTCGTCGGGATCTGACTTGCCTTCGCTGTAAATTCGTGCTCCTTTGACTCCTCAATCCAGCAATACCTCGCCCTCTTGATAAAATTCCGCCTCTGTAGAATGGAGGCTCTAGGTAGCCCATAAAGTTAAGCACCCCAATGGATAATCATATTCTTCCTCATCTTCGAGATTAACTGAACATTCTCCAAGATGACCATGCTCCCCTTCTTCCCTTCCTACACCCACAATGTCGCATCTCAAGCCATCCACTGTGTACATAATCTCCTTGACTTCTTGCACTAGGGAGACAAACATGCTTGTTTGTAAATATATATGAGCCGATGTTCTATAATCTAATATCTAACCACCACAAGAAGTGTTGTTCTTGGAAACCATCAACACCTTGATTTGTTGACTTTCATCCTCCATAACTGCTAATGCATCATTTAGTTGATTTCCTGTAATACCCGCTGCATATAAAGTTTGGGCCACCTGATCCATCATATCTTACCCCCTCAACCACTCTTACCATTTGAAATAGTCTTTCTTCACATAACATTCCCTTAGCAAAAGAAGCACAACTTAGCTCGCGAACTTGTCCCGTTTAGATATCTTCCAAACACATCTGCTACCGACATGACATCAAAAACCCAAATCATCACCAACATCTTGTTGTCACTGAAAATCATCCGTGAGGAACACTGCTTTGATCTCGATCTTGGTGATTATCGCCTTGCCTTATAGTTAGCAATGTGTTTAGAAATTATTAACTTGCTCGAAGAGAATTCAAGAAACTTCTCGCTTTGTCATCATCTTTAACCTTTGACCCTATCACTGTTGACTCGGTCACTATCCTATTGAAGTTTCTCATATGCTCTAACATTATCGTACATTCCTTTATCCGCAGTCCATACAACTACTACTTCCAATACAAGTTAGTGGATGCATTCTTGGTTATGTACAACTCCTAAAATTTCTTCCACAAACTAAGTGCAATCCTCCCCTCAATTACGTGGCACCCCACTTCGTAAGAATGAGCTAGTAGAATTGTACTCCACAACTTCTGACCATTTCATGTAAGACATGTCACTTGCTATTTTCTCCGACTTCTTGTTCACTCCTAGCAAAAGCTTGATCTAAGTCATGTTGGACCAAGACGACCTCCATCCTTTTCCGTCAAAGCCCAAGATCCCTTTTACCATTGATCTTTTTACACTCAGTCTTCATAACTAAAAAATTTTCCATTTCCATGCTGCGAATATTGAAACTTTCCTCAAAGACAATTCTAATCAAATTGACATTTAGCTCCACCACCAATTGTTGGCGCATGCCTCCCGCAACCTGACACTGATCATTGCGCACTAACCAATGATTTATGCATAAGCATCACCTGTGGAAGCGTCACCGAACACCCTGATTAGATCTCCTTCTTCTTTATGGACCAATCAATCACCGGGCAATATGAAAACACCAAGAAAATAATAGTTTGAACAAAAGAGTAAAGCAGTTACCGCAGAGTAATAGATTAAGAGACAAAAATATGAAATTTATATGGTTAACTGATCTCCTATATCCACGGCAACTAGGATTTCCTAAAATACAAGGTTTCAATAATATTCATTGTAATGCCTTCCAACAGCGCATTCTTCACTAGTGCAAGCAAATCTCTGGCTTCATTGCCTTTTCCACGCTTCTTACCCATCAGAATTCCCAATGGAAGTATCCCAAATGTGTAGCATCAATTCTTGAGTTGTATTCGTCGACATCTAACAACTCGGAAGCTTTACAATTGTCTAATTTTGAGATAATGATCCCCTCATTGGTGGCTATAGGCACCATCGGAGATTGAATTAACTAGGTTTGAGGATAAACGGTATGTTTGAGAAGATGAGGGTCGAATTGGGTTTGAGTTTGTGATGAAATGGGGTTGACGTTCTAAACGAGTGTAAGTTAAATGAGTAATGAGCGTAGGTTTGTAACCAAAGGGGCATAACAACCAATCTAGCTAAAAGTTAAAGTTAATATTCCATCTCAAGTCTTTCATTCTTTAAGTGGGTGGACTCATTTCAACATGATCATGAGATTTGGGGGCTGATATAAATTTCAAATACCTGGTGGACTATTACCAAAATATTGAAGATGTAAGGGGCTAATATCGAAAAACCCTCTTGAGATAAAATGAAGAGTTGCGGAACGTAGTAGCAATTTCCATGATTTGAGGGACTAATTCAGAATAAGAAACATTAAAAGCGGTGCTATTCGTTCGACATCCAAGAATACCCGACCCGCAAAAAGGCAAACACCCTACTTTCTCCTTCCCCCATTTTCCTCGTCGACTCCTCCGTCGATTTCGCGTTCAGTTCAGAGCATCTAATCTCAGTAAAAACCCTAAACCCAATTACTCAAAATTTAGAGCGATGTCCGTTCTAATCGTGACCAGCGTGGGCGACGTCGTGGTGGATCTTCACGCCGATCGATGCCCTTTGACCGCAAAGAACTTCCTCAAGCTTTGCAAGTACAATCTCTCTCTCTCTCTCTCTCTCTCTCTCTCTCTCTCTCTCGTTTCTCCCCCCGTGATTTATTCTTTTATTTGGTTGATATTTGAATTCTTGATTGTTTGCAGGATGAAGTACTACAATGGCTGCTTGTTTCACAAAGTTGAGAAGGATTTCATGGCGCAGACCGGTGACCCTACCGGCACCGGCGCCGGAGGTGACTCCGTCTACAAGTTAGTAGCTTTTACTGACATGCGATTAATTTTGTTCTTTAAAAAAAAAAGGAACTTGTTTTTCCAATAGCTGATCACATCTAGCTTGGCGTAAAGTAACATTTGCATTTTAAAAAAAAGGAACTTGTTTTTCCAATAGCTGATCACATCTAGCTTGGCGTAAAGTAACATTTGCATTTTAAGACTTTAACTTTGCGTGGTGGACCAAGTATTGGTATAAATCTTTCTGAAATAAGCACTAGAGTCAAAATTCCCTATATCAATTTTGTGATATTCTGTCTCTAATCCATTATATTAGATTATAGAATTTTTTATCAATCATCAAGATGCAATTAAATTGGCTTGAAGTTGAGGGTTTTGTTTATTTTTTTTCTCCCTAATTCTAGCAATTAGCATCTATTTGATGGATCGGTGCTCACCTCAATCGCATGTAACAAAATATTGGGTAAAATTATGATTTAAATTATACTTTTAAGAGTTTCTTCTGAGAGCAATCCAACTATCTGTAGTGAAGAAAAGTGTAACTGTTGTCTATTTATTTGTACTTGAGGAAGGCTTGAGGGCTAAAGATATTTATACACTTGGGGTTAAGTGTCCTGATGCAAAAGATCCTGAATTATTTCCCTTTTTAGGCTTGTTACTTTTTTGCGGCGAAGACTAACTTCTTGTTGAGAAATACTACCAGTATCCAGCATGCAACAATGTGAAAGCCATTATACGGTTTAGTCTTAAGTTTAAGGTAATTATTGGTGAATCGTGTTGGCAAGCTGTAATAATGTTACTAATGAGCCTTGAGGATGTATGGTACTAATGATCATGCATATGACTTCAGATTTCTGTATTTCATTTTGTATTGGTTAATCGTGCCTCGTTTAGAGATAGAGGTGATTTCCTGTGGAAAACCATATTAAAATTTTTGCGGTGACGCCCTTTGTTACCTATAGTTTGTTCGCTTAGAAATTGCTACCAAGTCTTAGATAAAGTTGATTATGATTGATTGTTTATAATATCTGTCTCTATCTGTTAATTGTTTCAGTTCTAATTTCTAATTCCATTTATCGGCTACTCTGCTTATTTATTTCTTTTATAGAAATTTAACATTCGGCTTACATTGTGATCCTTCAGATTCCTCTATGGTGAACAGGCTCGCTTTTTTAAGGATGAAATTCATCCAGACTTAAAACATTCTAAAATGGGGACTGTAGCAATGGCTAGTGCTGGTGAGGATTGCAATGCTTCTCAGGTATACCATAACATTTGCAAAGTAACTGGAATCCTTGTCATGTTTCTTGCAAGCTGAAATAGTTACCTTCTTAGCATGTTAGGGCTAAAATGAAGTATGAATCAGAACAGTAAAATGTTTTATTATTTGAAGTTGGAGAAGATTGGTACGATTCTGTGTCTACATCAGCCATAGGAGGACCTTCTTATCCACCTGAGATTTATTGTGAATCCTATCAAGAAGCATGATGCAATGCAGTTGCACAGCTTAAATTTGCTAGAAGTTAATAACAGACTCCCCGGCATATATGGGTTACAATACCATAATTCATGGGTTCATGATTCTTCATCTGCTGGATTTGGATGTTTATTTTATGCCTTTATCTTTTATTGGTTGGTTAAGTTTTGGTGTAACTTTTAATTTACTCTGTGATGTTTTTGTGGAGGTGGACATAATTCAGTTTGTCAATGAATGACAGAGAATTCATGCTTAGAAGGTCCTTTTTGGAAATTTCTCACCCTGTATTTTAGGAAGACAATATCATGGCCTATGTCAATTATAAGTTATGAATAAAAGCTAATGAATAAAAGCTATTCTTTAGTTTAAACAGTTCATATCTTTCTGTTGTATGTACAATTTCTCAAGTCATATAAGCAAATACTGGTTTTATAGGTCTTTTCTTGTTGATCTTGTGTTTTTAATCTACATATACATTCCTTCTAATGAATCCTGAGGCATCAAATCTGGATTGACCTAGGCTTATAGCTGTTTATAGATGTCTTTTTTAGGTCCTCAATACATGATGTGCTTTTATGTCCAGGCTGATCCTGATATGGGAGTCTTAGTTGTTCCAGTACAAACTGTGTTAAGGAATAGAGCTTAAGTTGTATAACTTAAATACGTGTTCTCTTTCTAAAATGTATGTATGTGGATGCATTAGTCAACTAGTAATCTCCAATTCGAGGAAATTAGCTTGTTTGATTTTTCTATTGTCCTAGATATTATTGGAGATGCATGCATGTGCAATTGCTATCACGGCGTTTCATAGAAAGAGAATAAAGGATGTGATTCTTGCTTTTGGTAGCTTTTGAGTAGAACTTTCAAATATCATATGTTTATGTTTTAAATGACTGGTCATTTTGTTTCCTCACCTGGTTTTCTTTACTAATTCTTTCATTTTATTTATTTATTTTTTTGTTTTGTTAAAGGTAAATTTTTTAATGAACTGAGGGCATTTTCATCATTTGCTGCTGGCACGTGGCAGTCAAAGTTGTCAGTGTTATTTTGGGTGTAAGTGTTAAATGAGACAAGTTCGGGGGCATAAGTTTAAGGGGATCATGTGCAAAAACCTCAGGGGTACCCTTCTAATAACAAGCAAGCCAGGAAATTGAATCTCCTTTATTTATGCAGGTATTTGGGCTTGTTGAAGAAAAAGAAGGCTTAGATACCTTGGCAAAGATAAACGAATCACTTGTTGATGATAAAGGCAGACCATTTAAAGACATAAGGTTTGTTTCGTACTCTACAGTCTGTATTAGCTTTTCTTAATTGAAAGATCTTCAGATTCTATCACCCGTTATGAAAGATCTGTCATGTATTTCTTCTAATTGATTTAATTAAGAAGTACTTCTGTTCATGCATGTGCACGTTCTCCACGCTTCAAGAAAAGTACAAAGTTTTGTCTGAATGAAAAAACATTGACAGGGATTTTGTCTTCGCATGTAAGCATAGATCATTCACCGTTTCTGTACACAGTAGGCGACGTAACGCAATCAATAGGATTCCAATATGCGATTTAATGAAACTTTATGCAAACAAAATGCAGACTCAAATGAACTGAACGGAAAATAAACTATAATTGATGAAATTATAAACTAAGTACTGATAATTTAAATGGAAAATTCAACAAGTTCAATTCTAGCAAAACAAATTGCTAAATCAAAGTTAATGATTGATTTAAGTCTATCTATGGTGCCATGTTCCTCTGGGTAAACTTGAATGTTCTGATCATCTCTCTTAATAGGCATCATCTCTCCCAATAGGCTTTTGTAAAAAATGACTTGTACAACAACACACAGAAAAGAAAAGAAAAGAAAAAAGATAAAGGATATCTACTACGTGTTCCAAATCTTACTTGATTTTTTTCCATTTACAACTGGACCACTTTTTTATACACCATCTCAGTATCCATGGTTCATTGTGCTCCATAATTTTGTATATGAGCACAGAACATGACATCCTTCTTGCATGGTTGCCCAAATGCTTTACCATTGTGGTACAGTAGTTCTTGCCAAATATGATAACTAGGGATCCATCTCTGGTTCCTTTATTGCTTTTGTAAGTCTTTGCTCTAAACAATATTCTGATTACAAAATTACATGACAAAATCGTCATTGGTTCATGAAAATCCGTAGGATGTTGGCGCCTTATGTAAGTTGCATGTTTTATATTGTATAAATGATAAATCACCTTTAACCTTGAGAAATAATAGCATGTCTTGTCCCTAATGGACCTGTAGAAAAAGAAAATCACAAATGCTTACGAATCTAACGCTTGTCATCGTAATTAGACTAGCATGGAATTTAATAATCAATTTTAAACTTTAAGCCTCCACTTCTAACTGACATCTGGTCATCTCCTTGTCTAACTTCTAAATGTTTGACTAGCAACTTCTTTATCTGCCTGATTTCTTCCTGTCATCATCACATCAACATTCTAGTTTTAGCTTTATCCTGTCAACATCGGCGACACATTATTCTGTTTCTTTTTCTGTTTTTACAGTTTTGTTGGGCGTAATTTCTTTTTACTACTTATCTTATGGTCTTCTTTTCTTTCTACTAGATTTTATGTACGTGCAATGCACGTGGTTAAATATTGTGATTAGGTATTTTTGGTTTATTTTCTTACTAAAATTTGTTCCTCGGTTACTCTTTGATAATTTTTGTTCACTTTGATTAAGTATTTTTTGTTTATTTTCTTAATAAAATTTATTCCTCGATTACACTTTGGTTATTTATTTATTTGATGTTTGTTTGAATAGGCTACACCCAGTTCAAATTTTTATGTTGATAGTTGAATTGTCAGGAGATAAATATAATCTAAAGCCAATTTAAAATTTTATTTTATTTGGATTGGCATGAAACCGAGCTTGACCTGAGGAGGTATAGTGTTATGAAAGTGAAAACACTTGAAAAAATAACATTATAAAAGAAAGATGAATAATAAAGCCAACGAGTCAAGATGATTGATTTAAAGTGGGCTAAAATAACATAAAATAGTTAATAAAAAAATTATAAATTGAAGATTAATGCTAACTCCAGTACACTTTTATATGATAAAAACATCCACGTGCATATGAAAGCACTAAAAATAGTTTATGAAAATCTCTTCTAAAGATTCCTAATTTTACTAAAAACACGTGCATATGAAAGCACTAAAAATAGTTTATGAAAATCTCTTCTAAAGATTCCTAATTTTACTAAAAAATAAAACTATTTTATAACAATTCACAAAATTATGAAAATCTCTTCTAAAGATTCCTAATTTTACTAAAAAATAAAACTATTTTATAACAATTCACAAAACATTATCTTTTGTGGCTTCAATTTTATTTTTTATTGAGTCAATATCAATCCTTCTTCATCTTTATCTTTTTCATGAGCAATTCTAGAATAGTGTCTTCATCATCTACATCGATTGTGATATGAGATTGGAGCATATTATCTTTCCTTGAGTTTATTCATCTTTTGTCTTCTTGTCTAAATTCACAAAAAAATTAAATATATTTCTTATGTTCAACACAAACTTCTGACAATACGGACTTTGATTTTTTTCCTATTTTAATAAGAATAAATGTTAATTTCATATATATAAAATTTTGTGTGCTTTTAATTTATTACTTAAATAAGGTTAGGAGCTATCTCTTTTTTTTGTAATTAATTCTTCTGTTGTGCATTCAATAAGAATTTCTGCTGTGTCATAATGTTACCTTTGCCTCTGTCTGTGTTATTTTTCATGAGGATCTGAACTAAATACATTATATTTTTTATTATCAATTTGCTTTAAGTTATAATATTAATATTTAATTTTGATATATTTATTTCATGAAGAAGAGATATCACTTAACCTTGGTACTACATCGGTGATTCTACAACATTTATCATCTGGACACTTATTATTAACATCTCTATCCACTTTCTTGTTGCAGCCTTTGCAAACATAGAACCAATGCTCAACTCTATTATAAATGGTAGTTATCATTGCCTTAAAGGTGCGATAGTGTGTCTGTATAATGTTTAATTACATGAATTTTGGAGTTGGTTTTCTAAGATCATACCTCTTTCGAATATTATAAAGGTTGTATATATTAGTAATTTAAAATTTTGCTGCATTTATAAAGAGCCTTAATGAAGATGCTTTTGTCTTGGAAGCTTACTCTAAAAGAACGTTGTATATTAGCTTTAAAATGTAATATTTTTTCTTTACAGTGTTATATGGATGTTTGCTTTGTTTGTTTATTAATCTCTTATTTCTTCAGTAAGTTGTATCTTTGGATTGATATATATTATTGACGTAATTTACGGTGACATGCATATCTCTTTCTTCAGTAAGTTGTATCTTTGGATTGATATATATTATTGACGTAATTTACGGTGACATGCATATCTCCTTTATAAATTTGAGACAAATATAAGGTGAATTTTATATTTAGTGGCATTTCATAAAAAATTTAGTAATGAAATATACTACCTTCATATTTAGAGATCTTAAATTCTAATAGTGTTATTACATCATTATATTTGATCGTGTCTTTAAGAATTAATTCTCTGTTAGTAGTCATACCCCTATATAAAGTCGCACGCATGGTCATGATACTATATAAGAAAAAGAAAAAGGGAAGTTTTATATTTTTTGCTTACACAGAGTCATGACATGGTAATTTTTCTTTTATCTTCTAGGAAGAATGTTTCCTTGATTGGAACAAAGTTGTTTAATATATTCTTCAGAGGGTATTCAGTCGTTTCTTTGATAAATATAAGTTATGTTAGTGTTAATTAAAGTGATTCATGGACGTTTCAAATTCCATTTGAAATGAAAACCACTTGATTCTTTTGAAGGATATCTCTAAATTTTCTAATACTTCTACATACATAAATCTTTATAATTTTTTACCCTATAAATAATATTACCATTAGAGATCAATATTTATAGATTATAATCAATTAATGTTAAGTTATTATATTATAGTCTTTTATCAACTTTTTGCGATTTAGTCTTCTATCAATTAATGATACTTATGTATTTTTGCTGCTCTAACTTATTGGTAAAATTATATGCAATTATTTTAATTTATACAATAACATTATATTTTAATCTATCATATATTTTTTAAAAATTTTATTCTTTAACTAGATATTTTTAATCTGTTATTATTACTATTTTTTTATCAGTATCAACTTGACTATTTTCAGATTCTGAAAAGGGATAATAAACCTTAAATTATAAGTTATATTTATATATTTTAATGAAAGAATATCACACAATTATTCTTTTCTTTGCCAAGTTCTAAATTTTTAGCTTTTAATTGTGTAATTTTAAACTTTTGAGAGTATTTTGTCTAACTTTTAAAACTTTTTATTTTTATTTTGTAATACTTCATGTATTAAGCTAATACTACGGAGTTGTTTCATATATTTTATTAATTTTATTTAATTTGTTGAGATATAGATAGTTCATGGGATATTAGGATAGGATATAAGTATGATTAGGATATATTATAATTTAAATTAAATATTTAAAATAGTACAAGATAATTTTGACTTTGACTATGGAGAGCTTTCCCGAACTCGTGCTTTTAAATGGAATATGATTTTTGTTTTCCTTAATTTTTCTTTTTTATAATTTTGAGAATGACTTTTATCTCTTTAATTTGTTTGGTGGATTTTATAAATATCTCATCCACATTATGTACATTTGTAGGTCTACGTTGTTCCCGGGTTCGACCTTTGGTCTATCATATATATTTTTAAATTTTTTTTCTTTAATTGGATATTTTTAATCTATTATTATTCCTATTTTTTTACCAGTATCAACTTGACTATTTTCAGATTATGAAAAGGGATAGTAAACCTTAGATTATAAGTTATATTTATATATCTTAATGAAAGAATATCACACAATTATTCTTTTCTTTGCCAAGTTCTAATATATCTTAATGAAAGAATATCACACAATTATTCTTTTCTTTGCCAAGTTCTAAATTTTTAGCTTTTTATTTTGTGTAATTTTAAACTTTTGAGAGTATTTTGTTTAATTTTTAGAACTTTTTGCTTTTTTTTGTAATACTCCATGTATTAAGCTGATACTACGGAGCTGTTTCATATATTTCATTAATCTTATTTAAATTGTTGAGCTATAGATAATTCATGGGGTATTAGGATAGGATATAAGTATGATTAGGATAGATTATAATTTAAATTAAATATTTAAAATAGTACAAGATAATTTTGACTATGGAAAGCTTTTCCCGAACTCGTGCTTTTAAAGGGAGTATGATTTTTGTTTTCCTTAAATTTTTTTTTATAATTTTGAGAATAATTTGTCTCTTTAATTTGTTTGGTGGATTTTGTAAATATTGCATCCACATTATGTACATTTGTAGGTCTACGTTATTTTCGGGTTCGACCTTTGGGGTAGACATTATTTGTCTCATTAATTTATTTAGTTTTTGCATATACACCCTTTATTTTGTAGACATTTGTAAATTTGGCATTTAATAATTTTATTTAGATTTACATTTCAATTTAAATTGTATCCTTATCTTCATATTATGTATATTCAATAAAAATTTATCAATTTATCAACTTACTCTTACTTAATGGAATAATATTTAAATTCCAATGATATTTTTGTCTACCGAAAGATTTTCCCGAACTCGTGCTTTTTTAAAGGGAGTATGATTTGGTAAATATGCAGACAGCAGAGGAGCGCCTGGAAGATACTTGGGTGCCCATGGATGAAAAATTAGCACCAGAAGAACTTGAGGAGTTGATTCGTGCTAAAGATGCTCATACTAATGCAGCTATTCTAGAGAGTGTACGAACTTTTACCAAAATTTTGCAACTTTCTTATAGTTGTATCCATTTAATTGCTTTTGTTTGCGTATTTACATTAAATTTATGTGATCAGATAGGAGACATCCCAGATGCTGAGATAAAGCCACCGGAGAATGTCTTATTTGTTTGCAAACTTAATCCAGTCACTCAGGTTCGTCATTAGTTCGGTTGTTTAAATAGCTATTTTAGAAGGTATAACGTGCTAATTGTTGTCTCCTGAATGATGCAGGACGAGGATTTATTTACAATATTTTCTCGTTTTGGGACCGTAACATCGTGAGTACTAGTTATATTTTTTTTTCCTTCTCTTTGTTCGTTTCTTGAAATGTCACTAGATTTTTCACTTTTTCAGAGCTGATATAATTCGTGATTATAAGACTGGAGATAGCCTATGCTATGCTTTTATTGGTGAGTGCATTTAGTCTTCATATGTGTCCATATCACATCTCCTCTTATTTTATAAGTAGAATGAATCTAAGGTCTTCAATAATTCTGAAGACTTGATATGAGGATTGATTGCTATCATCTTGCTAACCTGAGTATTGACTTGCTCTTCCCTATCCCTTCATCGAAAACACGAGCCACCACCTTCTTGTCGTATGTTTGTATCCCAGTTATCAATCAGCTTTGTGCGGTTGCCTTACTTCCAGTTTACTCTTTTGTTCTCTTCTCTTCTCTTTAGATTTCCCTCTTTTGGGTTTCCATCTCCATTTGCATAAAGTTCTCATCCCACATCTACATGAACATTTCAAGTTCCACCACCATCTCAGGCATGGTTAATTGTTTCCTTGATATATTATATTGACAAATGATGTTGAAAACTAGAAGTTAATGATGTTCCTATCCAATTAAGGTGATTAACTGACCATGTGGTTATTGGAACATAAAGGCCTTGTTCTTCTTTTTGATGTTGTATGATCACTGCTGCACAGTGTTATGCATATGTAATATTGGAAACTTGTAACCATATATTTTCATAGATATACTTCTTTTGGCAGTACTTACTATATAGTGTTGCCTTGTGCACCATAGATTTTCATGTTAACGGCAACTTTCTGGTTCATTTTGCAGAGTTTGAAACCAACGAGGCATGTGAACGGGCTTTTTTCAAGGTAAGTAAAAAGCACTATGTTATTCGTTCTTTTACTTGAGCATTTCATTTTACTAGGTAGGTGGGATGCACATGAATTGCACGTGGTTAGATGTCATGATTTTTTTTCTTTATTTCTTTATTATAACTCAGTTGTGAGATAAATATGTTTACCATAAAATATATTGCAATAATCCTCCCTGAACTTTACACTTTTCTCAGTAGAGCCACTGGACATTGTTACTTCAATATGTGAAATGGCCTAAAGACCCATTTCGGTTATTAAATCTCCCAAGCAGTAAAAGGATACCCCAAGACATTTATGGTGCTTAAAAAAACCTCGTAACTATTTTAATTTGAAGAAACTCCCTTAGTTTTGGGAATGTTGCAATAACACCTCTCAACTTTGAGAATTTGATCTAAAGCCCTCAAATATGGGATTTTTCATAGCACCCCCTTAATCTTACACTTTTCTCTGTAAATCTCATTGGTGTCGTTACTTCAAAATATGAAATGATCTAAATATCCATTGTAGTAAAAATAAATATCTAGACGAATTAAATTTGGACTAATTTCTAGTTCATAAATAAAAAACGTTTTTGGTGTTAGATAGAAACTATATCCCTTTTTATTTGTGACATGGGTGAGATGATATTATAGTAAAGTGGATCAATGAACTTTTAATTTAAAGAAAAGATTTGGAGGGCTTAGATGAAATTTTTTAACCCCTCAAATACGGCATTTCTCATAACATTACACTTTTCTCGGTAAATCTTACTGACGTCGTTATTTCAAAATATGAAATGATCTACATACCCACACAGAAAAAATAAATCCCTAGACAAATTAAATTTGGACTAATTTCTAATTTGTAAATAAAAATTTAGAAGGTTGGGTGGAAACTTTATCCCTTTTTGTTAGTGATTATGGATTAACATGCCCAAGGATGATATCATGGCAAAGTAGATCTATTAACATCCCTTTTTGTTAGTGATTATGGATTAACATGCCCAAGGATGATATCATGGCAAAGTAGATCTATTAACTTTTAATATATAAATAAAAAATGGATTAACATGCCCAAGGATGATATCATGGCAAAGTAGATCTATTAACTTTTAATATATAAATAAAAAAATTGGTGGACATAGATGAAATTTTTTATTGCTACTTATTTATCTAATAGAATTTCTAGTAGGAGATTAGTGTATGCTTAAAAGTTCGCACACATAGCCGGCCATGCGCAGAGGAAGTCCATGTGATAGGGATAGAAACTTATTTGATGATAGGGATTTTATATAAGGACTATACTTTCAAATAAATTATGAATACATACTAATTATTCGGATTAAACATATTAATTATGATATGATAACAATGTAATGATCAAGAGAGTTAGGGGTAGTTTCGTCTAGGGAAAGTTTTTCCCAAACTCCTGTGTTTAAAGGGAGTATGATCTTGTACATTTCCCCCTCTTTGCAAGCCTTAATAGGCGGTCAGGCTAATGATTTATATTAGGGTGGGGATCTAAAGTATTCATTGTCACATATACTTTTTAATGTCCACATGGGTTCAAAATCTCATTGGTGAAATTTTCTAATATATGTATCTCATAGGATAAAAAGAGCAAACCTGTAACAATCTTGAAAACAATTATTTTTATTTTCCTGAGGCAGTTTGAAATCTCTAATTCATGCAATTATTAATCTTTATAGGTTTAAAAGTTGTATTTCACAATGAAAGGTTCAGAATGGACCTAATTATTCATAGGTAGGTGTAACTTTTATGTTACTCCATATGTATGTCTAATATTAATATTACACCTTTGTAATATGTTTTGAATGTATAGTACAGTAACTGGCTTGTTCTTGAGTTTCTTATATTAGTTACTACCTTTGGGTTAGCTCAGCTACTTTTGGACCAAAAGTGATGCAACTGTGGTTTGCTATTGACCTTTATCACTTGTAGATTTGCATTAATGCCTAATTCAAACCATCTTTGTTCCTCTAAAAAAACTTTTCTTGTTGACAATGCATGTATAAATACTATTTTAGGAAATTTTTTTGTTTTTGACTTATAGCTTGTGGTTATAAGTTTCCAATCGGTACAAGTATATCAGAAATATCTATATTCCCGCTTCGGTATCATGTGGAGATTCTATTAGATGTTAATCCAGAACTTTGACTGTGTCAATATTTGTAATCGAACAGATGGACAATGTGTTGATTGATGACCGCAGAATACATGTGGATTTCAGCCAAAGTGTTTCCAAATTGTGGAACCAATACAGACATGGTAAAGGGAGTCAAGATCGTAAAGGTATATTTTAAACTATAGTCTCAACTAAATATTGAACATAACGAACATTTAGAAGAATCGCATAATTTATTTCATATTGCAAATTCTCTATCTTAGGTGGCTGCTTCAAGTGTGGTAATACTGATCACATTGCCCGGGACTGTCAACAAGGCTCCAATAACAAGCAGCAAGGACCAAAATATGTTCTGAAAAATGATCAGACCCAACACGGCGGAGATGGTCGCAAGAGGTCTCTATTCAAATCAAGATAAACAATGATATAGTTTAGTGTTAATTGCGGATAGACGCCTGTACTATCACCAAATCAAATTTACTATCCTGGTAGTTCTCCTGTTGCAGTTAGACCCCCTGAGTGAAAATATATTCTGCAGATAGTCCCCCTGAAAAGGGTCAAAAACATAAATTCACTCAGGGTGTCTATCTGCAATGTTAGAACTACCGGGTTGGGAAGTTCAATTTGGCGATGGTACGGGAGGTCTATCTGCAATTAACCCTATATTCTAATATTTATATGGAGCTGCCTCTCATATAAAGAAATTTCTGCAGGTATGACATGGTGTTTGATGAAGATCTGGAAGACAAAAATATTAGATATGATGATAAAAATAGAGCTGACGAGAGAGCAGATGACCGAGCACACAGAGATCACAGGAGAAGCTCGGAAAGCAGTCACCGACCGAAGGATGAGAGAGATTATAGGAGATCTGAGAGCGATAGGTATAGGAGAGAGGATTACCATGAAAGAAAGAGGAGAGATCGAGATGATGATGATGCATAGGGAAAGAAAAGAAGAGACCGAGATGATGATATGTACCTGGAAAGAAAGAAAAGAGATCGAGATGATGATAAGTACAGGGAAAGAAAGCATAGAGATGAGCATAGGAGATGAGAAGAATGCATCTTCTCTTTATTTAATACAATGTTTGTATTGTAAAAGATGTTGCTAAAAGAGGGCAATTTTGAGCAGGGTTTCATGTATGCAACTGATGGTGGCTTGATCCTTGATGTGATAGTTCTTTCACTTCGACAACTGATGCCTTTGATTTCTCAGGAACCTCAAACTTTGTCGAATTCGTCAGATGGTGTGTGTGATCTCCACTGCAATCTTGTTCCTCGTCCGACTTTGCACCTGCATTTACTTTTACATTCTGATTGATGGCAATGCAGGAATGCAGCAATTTAACGGACTCCTTTCTTTTTCTGTGAAAACCCCCTCTTTTTTACTGATTTTCAGTGATTACCCTTGTGCGTAGTCAGCATTAGCTTTGATTCGAGCTGTTTGTACTGCAGATGACAAATGTATAACCATACCAGGCAATGTTCAAACACTAACCATATAACGCAGAGAAGAGCAAACCAATAAAAATAGAGTCTTCATGTATATACACGGATATATTATCATCACCTGTAGTTTATAACTATTACTTAGAGAGTTTATAACTATTACTCAGAGCATCAGTAAGCATGGCAAGTATCTCATCGGCAGAGGGCCTAGCCTCAGGGGATTCATGAGTACAAGCCAAGGCCACCTCCAACACTCTCAATGCTTGAACCTTCGCTTGCCCTTCAACAAAGTACTCGAAAAAATGGCAAGTCCCAGCTTTTATTTCTTCCACCCTTTCGACGATGCAGTGTATTTGATGAGGTGCCCTCGCACCACCCAATACATCGAAAACCATCACGCCGAAATCAAAGATATCCTCTTTTTGCGAACGCTTCTTCTTGCCATTTTCGACCCCCAAAGTGGTAGGCAAAGGTTTCTTTGCCCGGGCAATATTGGGGGTGTCAATGGTTCGAGCAAGCTGGGCAAAGCCATAATCAGAGAGATGGGCAGAGAAATTGGTACCAATAAAGACATTGGAGGACTTTATATTGCCATGGATATTGGATCGAAAGCGTCTGTCTTCAGTTGAGAGAGGCTGAGAATGAATGAAGGATATAGCGCTCGCAACATGTAGGATGATCCTTGCTCTCATTTGCCAGTTCAATTGGGTGTGTCCTAGGTCTCTGGCTCCTACAAAGAAATTTTCCACTTTAGATGAGAAGGTTAAAAAAAAAAGACGCATTATATAATGGTATTTTCATGTCAGTATACCATTACCCTCGACTTAGTAAGAAAATAATGAATGTGCATGATGCTGAAAGTTATATCAATAAGCGAGTCAATGCGGTACTTGGTAGCTAAATACAAAGATATATCATGTAGTATAGTAAACCACAGATAGGATCATTCCCAGCAGTATCGGATATTGGAGACATATGTATACTATATATGTACATCGAGTTGGTACATTAAGTAATTGGAAATTTGACTTACTAATTTACCCAAAGAACTATAGCTCAGATCGACAAATACATGTATCATACATGCTAACAAAAAATCGACTTGTTCCCTGTACAAGGATGCAGTCTTCCTTTATAATTCAGGTGACTCTCGAAAATATGGAAATTTACGCGTATGCAGAGAGGTTTATAAGCTTTAAGATATTCTGTAACTTAGTTATATAACTTTGTTACCAACACAGAACAGGAATATACAACCACTACCTGCATGAACATCAAAAGGGATATAAGATAATAGCAGGGACAGTACATGTAATCACATTAAAACATAGAGAGATGTAGATATGTGTATAAGTAAGTATAAGCGCGTGTTTAACATTTGCAGCTTGTTGTGCATCAAGTTGACTTTAATAAAACTTTTTAAAGCTAATTTAGATATTTCTAAAGCAAAAACAAGAAATACGCATTATTTAATAAGACCTTCTCTCACAATTGATATGAATAGGAATATTAGTCGAATATTAACCCCTATTCAAATGTAGTTCTTACTGTACGAGTTTTCCATGTGCAATATTTTGGAAATTCTCAGAAAAAAAATGTCCTTGGTACAAAAAAATGGTGCCTCGCGACTGAACCGAATGTTTCCATTGCATGCAACGTGATGTTGGTTATCAATTTCTGAGGACACCAGTACCCCGTTCATCTATAGAAAGCATTAATCAACGTCAGATTGCTTCGCATCTTCCCGCATGCACTGTTTTAATGCTGCAGGGCCCTATTTCTACATGCCAAGATTGAATATCTAAATAGATATAACGATTATATTCTCCCTCAAAAAACACACACATAACCAATCCTAAAAATTTGCTCTTAATTTTCTTCATAAGATCTCCTCGAATACTGAAAAAAAAATATGAACATGAATACGATAAATTTTTACCTGCAAGAAGATCAGCAAGACTCCCCATAGGATAATAGTTGCATAATACGAGCTTGGTCCTCTTCGAATAAACGTAAGCCCGAACGGGGACCAAGTAATCGCACTGCCAGCAAACAGCAGCCACTCTCTCCACCCTCTTCCCAAAATCCGTCCTGCCAACAGCCACCTTCCTAAATCTCTTAGTAGCAAACGTCGACCCATCTAAAAGCACGATCTTTTCAGTTATACCAAGGCTGCTCATACCAAGAACCTGCACGGATGATCGCAGCACTTCTTTTAGCCCTAGACTGCTCCCACCGCCGCCTCCACCACAAAACGTTAAAGGAAACTCTCCTGCTATGCCACACCAACCCTCTTCGTCGTCGTCAGATTGGTTGACGGAGTAAAGGGATTGAGTATTGGTCTTGCCACTGTGTGGTTCCTTTTTGTATGAAGGGCTTGCGGTCCTTTGCCATTGTTGCTGCTGCCTCCTCTTCGCTTCGAGGACTCTTGACATCATTGTTCTCTTTATGGTTAATTAACATGCACAACAGCGAATCTCCCTGCGGATATGCGAGGCTTGTGTGGATCCTGAAGTTTTGAGTTCTGCGCGCCTCAGGATAGATTTACCTCTCCCATGAAGGGAAACCATGTGGTGTTATATAACTAAATATAATAGTCCACGAAAAGAAAATTAAGCTTATTCAACCAATTAACTCAGGAGGTGTTATATAACTAAATATAATAGTCCACGAAAAGAAAATTAAGCTTATTCAACCAATTAACTCAGGAGAATGCATAACAAAGAAACAGGAGACTATTGGTTCTCAATTACTGTCATGTGGACGCTTTTGGACTCAGGAAGGGCCAAAAAGGGAATCTCTGGAAATAACAAGGCCACTATGTTAGTTTCTAGTTATTGATTACTTAATAATGATTCAGAATCTGCCTTGGATGGAGGAACCAAGAAACAGCTCATTTAACAATGAAGTCTTTTTCCTAGATAGATTCGAGTTTTACATTACGGACAGATTCATATAAGCTTTCATATGTATAGTTTAAGATAGCTGGCGATCAAAATTCCTTAATAAGTCAGTCCTTTTCAGACATGGTGGACATATTCCTAAGTACTAACAACATTTACTGTCTGCAAAATACATCACGTCAATGCATTCAGAATTGCCAAAAATGTCTTGAGGAGAGGGGTGGGGGTTGGGGGTTGGGGGGGTGTTAGGATACACACCAACAATAACGACTTGAACGGAGACGTAACACACAGAATAAAGGCACAAAAATCAATCACAGTACTCACAGATATACGCGGTTCACTTCTTCGGAGCTATTCTACGGTGCAACGACGACGCCAAATTCTTTTATATCCCAAAAGAATAAATCAAAGAGAACACCCTCTCTTGATCAGATACATTCCAATAACTCTCACAATCTCTCTCTGTGTTTTCTCTCTTACTCTTCTATGAGAGGAGTTGTTTCTAGGATGAGATTTCCTTACCCACCGCCTTTTTTATTTTTTCTCAAAAAACGGCAACTTTCGGTGCCTAACTGTCCTTTGTCAACAAAGAGCGGCTGACAATCTCCCAATTAAAGATTTGATTGAGTATTAATCATATATTCACATCATTCTTGATTGTATCATCCGGATGTCTTGTATCTTTGGCATCTTGCACTGTCCTCAACATTCTCAACGGAGGCCATATGAGGCTGCATACAGCCTCACCTTCTCGAGCGGAACTGGCTTGGTCAGCATATCGGCTAGATTGTATCTCGTATCAATCTTCACAAGCTTGAACTCGTTTCTACTTTGCCATCTTCGTATGGCATGATGCTTCACGTCAACATGTTTGGTTCGAGCATGGAATACGTCGTTCTCTGATAAGTGAATGACACTTTGACTGTCGCTGTGGATGAGGTATTTCTCAAAGCTCACCCCAAGCTCGAGAAGAAAAGTTTTCAACCATAGCAACTCATTTGCTGCCTCTGCTGCAGACACGTACTCTTCTTTGGTTGTTGACAAAGCCACAGTATCCTGTAGCTTGGATCCAACTTATCGCTCCACCACCCAAGATGAAGATGTAGTCGCTCGTACTCCTTCTCGAGTCTATGTCCCCGGCGTAGTCTGCATCACAAAAGCCCTCTAGTTGCAAATCTTTCCCGGCATACTCAAGACAACGATCAGATGAGCATCTCAAGTAGCGTAGAAGCCACTTGACCGTACCCCAGTGTTGGTTCCCGGGATTGCTCATGAAGCGACTCACAACTCTCACTCCTTGTGCAATATCTGACCTCGTGCACACTATCGCATACATCAAACTCCCGACGACAGATGCGTATGATATGTTGGTCATGAACTCATGCTCTTCAGCAGTCTCTGGTGCTTGCGTCTTTGATAGCTTAAAATGACTTTCAAACGGCGAGCCTACCGGTTTAACTTTCTCCATGCCAAACTTTTCAAAAATCTTCTCAATATATACCTTCTGAGACAACCTCAGCCTCCGTGTTAATATGACTCTGATGATCCTCATCCAAAGAATCTGATTTGCTGGACCTAAATCATTCATCTCGAAACACTCGGAGAGACGCCCCTTGAGTTCTTCAATACGGGCCAAGTCGGGCCCGGAAATCAGCATGTCATCAACATAAATCAAGAGTATCACATAGGATTCGCTCTCTTGATGAAGCAGCAGTGGTCTGTGTCGCATTTGAGAAAACTGTTCTCCTACATAAAGTTCTCGAACTTCATGCACCACTGTCGCGGAGCTTGCTTCAGTCCATACAAGCTCTTGCGCAGGCGACACACGAGGCCCTCCCTACCTCGTTCCTCAAAACCCACTGGTTGATGCATATAGATCTCTTCCTCCAAATCTCCATAAAGGAATACCGTCTTCACATCCATTTGCTCTAGATGAAGATCTCGAATTGCCACAATGTTCAGCATAGTCCGGATCGTTGTCAACTTGACGACGGGAGCGAAAACGTCATAATAGTCTATTCCTGCTTTCTGGTCATAGCCCTTCACTACAAGCCTCGTCTTGTAGCGACTCCTTCCATCAGCTTCATCCTTGACCTGATAAATCCACCGATTGTGAAGAGTTTTTCTTCCTCTTGGAAGCTTTACAAGCTCCCAAGTCCCATTCTTCATCAATGACTTCATTTTTTCCTTCATGGCAGACTCCCACTAGCCCCGAGCTTTGCCGGTCTGTTGTACCTCCTCATAGCTTTCTGGCTCACCATTGTTAGTCAAGAGAAGATAATTAATGGTAGAAAGGTACCTCTCTGGCACCCTTGGATTTCTTAGAGCTTTGCGAATTGCGATCGACAACTCAGCTGGATCCTGCTACTATACATCCGGCACATTCTCTTGATCTCTGTCTTCTATGCTGATAGGTATTTCACCGCCGTCCTCACTGTCAATAATATCTGAGAAAAGAGAGGGAGATAGTTGACTCCCACTCACCTCCTTGGTATTGTATACCACATTCTCATGGAATACGACGTCATGACTGTGCACCACCTTACGTGCATCGTGATCCCAGAAATGGTACACATACTCATTTCCTTCATAGCCAATGAAAGATAGCTTCTTTGACTTTGGATCAAGTTTTGACCGGTCTGCAAGATTGGTTATGACATAGGCATCACAACGAAATACTCGTACGTGCTCTAGTTTTAGCTTCTTTCCGGTCCAAGCCTCTTTAGGTATCCCATAACCGAGAACCACGGATGGCCCGCAGTTGATCAAGTATGCAGCAGTATTGATAGCTTCGGCCTAAAAACTCTTGGGCAATCCGGGGTGGATCCTCATACTTCTGGTGCGCTCCAAGATAGTGCGATTCATACGCTCCGCCACTCCGTTGTGCTGAGGTGTGTCTGGGACGGTCTTCAGTCTCCTAATCCCATGGGACGAGCAGAAGTTTTCGAACTCCTGGCTGTAATACTCGCCTTCATTATCAGACTTTAGGCACTTCAACTTATTACCTGTTTTGTTCTCCACACAGGCAAGCCACTTCTTGAAGACGATGAAAACATTTGACTTGTGCTTCAAAAAGAACCCCACAATTTTCTTGTAGCATCATCAATAAAAGTGACAAAGTAAAGAGAATTTCTAACAGATGGGACTTGCGCAGGTCCCCACACGTCGGTGTGTACCAACTCTAATTTCTGCAGTTTTAGAGCCGGTCCGATCTTGTTGAAGCTCACGTTCTTTTGTTTGTCTAGGATGCAGTCCTCAAAGAAAGTCAGATCGGTCTTGTTCAGACCTGAAAGCCTCTCTCCCGCGGCCATAATCCGCATCCCCTTCTCGCTCATGTAGCCAAGTCGTCGATGCCAAATCATACAGTCAACGGATTATGATGATGATGCTTGTCCTGCGGCAAGCAAGCGGTCGATCTTCCCATTGGCGATGTAGAGAGACCTCTCGCGTTTGTCGTGTGCCACCACCAGGGCACCCTTGGACACCTTACAGCTTCTCTGCTCGAAGGATACTCTGTAACCGGAGTTAGTCAATTGTCCGACTGATATAAGATTTCGCCTAAGATCCGGTACATGTCGAACGTCGTTCAGCGTCAAGGTGGTTCCGCCGTTCATCTTGAGGGTATAATTTTCCTTCCCGGAAACCTTGCAAGGTTGATCGTCGCCAAGATAGACTGTCCCTAAGTCTTTCTTCACGAACGATGAAAGCAGTACTCCACGGTGCAACGACGATGCCAAATTAAACACAGTACTCACAGATATACGTGGTTCACTCATTCGGAGCTACTCCACGGTACAACGACGACGCTAAATTCTTTTATATCCCAAAAGAATAGATCAAAGAGAATACCCTCTCTTGATCAGATACACTCCAAGAACTCTCACAATCTCTCTCTGTGTTTTCTCTCTTACTTTTCTATGAGAGGAGTTGTTTCTGGGATGAGATTTCCTTATCCACCACCTTTTTCTTTTTTCTCAAAAAACGGCAACTTTCGGTGCCTAACTGCCATTTGTCAACAAAGAGCGGCTGACAGGGGGGGAATAATTGCTGCCTGCCTTGTTAGCGCCCTACCAAACAACACCTCTTAGTGTTTTCAACGACGAATGGTCACTGGTTTCAGCCTTCAGAATTCAAGAATCGCCGAATAACAAAGTAGGGCCCCAACACTGATCGATAAACCCCCATGTAGATCATAGGCGAGTGTTTTCTACGCAATATTTCCGTGCTCTTTCAGGGTTCAGACCCTGCAGGACCCCTTTCACTTACCTTTTCCGTTGTAACACGCACTGTTTAATACGCGCTCATGCGATGTGGAGGTAAACTAGGCCGAGAGAATATATCTGTTGCGATATATGTGAACGTGGGGGCCACTACGTGAATGAATCGGTGCAAGCAGCAAAGCAAAGGGACCCGATGATTCTCTCATGCTATAAATAATAGCGTGGGGTCTTCTTAGGTCGGTGTGCAAGGAGAGAATAGCAGAGAGAAAAAGCGGCGCAAGGCTGTGTGAGGTTTTTGGCGGATGTGTGAGG